ATGAAGCTTCTTTGTGGTGATACCTGGTTGAAACCAGCTGCTCTGAACCTTAACGACATGCAGCAGCTCCGCCCCGGTAACCGTCTGTGAGACTCCAGACTTAACTTGGTTTCTTTATTTTATATGTAGGAAGGCGAACTAATTAGTTCATCCCTATTTTTAATGTGTTTTTCATTACTGTGATAGCATTAAAATTATTACCTGCGCACCTTGATAATTGGCTCAATTGGTCAAATTGAAAGTCAGGTGGTTAAATTCAAAATAACCCCTTTTCTCCTGACTTTTATTAAAAGAGGTCATTGGAAAAATTACCAATAATTATTGAATTTTTTAACTGAAAAACAAAAAAACCCTCAACCAGTTTTATGTTAACATACTGTTTAAGATTTTTGTGTTACTTGTTTTTTTTTTGTTTAAGCTCATTCATAAAACCCAAACTGCTTTAACTGTTTACTTCACTGTTAGCACAGCGGCACCTCAACACATCGACTGTAAGATTTGTGACGACACCAGCATTGTGTCTATTTCTGACATTTAGGGACTCTAATGAAGCCTATCTCACTACTTTCATGTTGAAAAACGAGGCACGATGGGCAGCCAGTGCATTAAAATGTCGTGACGAAGCGACACTGGGTTGGACGCTCACAAGCGTTTAACACACACTTAACCCATCACACATCTCGATCTTCAAACACAGGCTGGCAATCGCCGTGTGACAGCTGTAAACACATCAAGGACGCTTTGGAGGAAAAAAAAATACGTATGAAAGGACGGACGATATTTGACAGCGGGTTTGATGGATGGATCAACAGATGAATATGTTGGGAAAACAGAACGTGGCTCAGACAAATCAGTGCATCGCTGAATATAAATCGTGAAGCCATTTGCATGTGTGTGCACAATCATTCTGCTCCTCTTTTCACTTCTGCCAATCTCCGTTTTTAATTTCTGTGGTTTTCTACGATCTATCAGTGACGGCGACGGTGACGCTATGATGCTAACTCGCCCTTGTTAACACCGCTTCTGGCCTCGGGTTGCGTCACATTTCTTCCCTTTGCCCTCATTATCACCTTCGTCAGAGGTGATTACACCAGCCTTCCCCTCTCCATCTAAAGCAGGGGTGTCGAACTGCGGTCCTCGAGGACCGCAATCCTGCATGTTTTAGATGTGTCCTTCTTCTAACACACCTGATTCAAATGATCAGCTCATCATCAAGCTCTGCAGAAGTCTGATAACGATCCTGATCATGTGAATCAGGTGTGTTGGAAGAAGGACACATCTAAAACATGCAGGATTGCGGCCCTCGAGGACCGGAGTTCAACACCTCTGATCTAAAGGAAACTGTTTAAACATTGCATTCAAATCCAGCCTGGGCCTTTACATATGGTCTCTGTTCTGCACTCTTATAAACTCTCTTTTCATGCCGGTCTGTCTCGACTTAGCTAGCGACACCTGCACATGTTTCCTACAGCCTCTCTTCTTGCCTTCGCTCCAGTGTCTGCTCCCTCTGTGCCCCCCAACCCTTCTTTCTCTGTATATATCGTGGTGACATTTGTTCACTACCCGGGCTGCTGGCTGCCTGCGGTTCTGCTCTGTGATCTGACTGCTGCCTTGCTCAGAATGGGGCCATTCATTAGGGCAAAGGAGCAGGGAAAGGACACTCACACATGTAGAGGACACACACACACACACACACCGAAGCACAGGAGAGACTTTAGCAAACTATCGTCGAACCATTTGTTCTGTCCGGCCGTAGTCAGATGGACACTCTGACCTTGCATGTGTTCATTTTTCTTGCCACTTACCCTGTGAGCACCACCACAAAGTCCATGACGTTCCATCCGTTTCTCAAGTAGGAGTTCTTGTGGAAGGCGAAGCCAAGTGCCAGGATCTTTATTCCAGACTCGAAACAGAAGATCCCAATGAAGTACGGCTCTGTGTCGTCCTGAAGAGCGAGAACAAGCAGAGGAAGACGGAGGAGGAGAAAGAAGAAGGGTTGGAAAAACAGAAAGTTAGTCAGTAGATAGATGTTTCCAGGAGAATCGTTTTCATAAATGTGTCGCGAGCTTGAATGTGTCTCATTTCTGCAGATTTACATTTTCTGCTGCGCTAACGTGTTCTTCACAAGCTGTACGTCAACACAGAGGCACAACCTGGATTTAATCATGTTTATGTGCGGCACACACGTGTAAAACCTGATTAACGGGACTGTTGTCTGTTCAACTTACCAGGCGTTCAGACAGCGGCGTCTTGTCCCCGTCAGGCAAGTGTTGCTCCAGAGCCAAGACGATGCAGTTGGCGATGATGGTGGCGAGAATCATCCACTCAAATGGAGTGAAGGAGGTCAGTCAAGGAACCAAGCTAAATCAGTTTCAACCCAAAATAAAATCTACAACATTAAAAAAAAAAAAGCTTGACATTGGTTTTTTTTCCTACGGTGCATTGTGTCTCACCGTTACAACGAGAAGTTCACATTACGTTTGTTCTACACCCACACTTGGCGATTGATTAAAGCAAACACGTCCGCTGCATTTGTACATTATCAATATTACTTTCCACTGGCAGTTTTTAATTTAGCATGCACATAAATCATTATTACCAACCGTAACTCCGCGTCGGCGCAAATTAGATTTGTATTGTGGAGATGGGCCAGATGGCTAAAAGCTCACATAAAAACACTTCAACTTTACAACAACGCTCTCACAAAAAAGTTGTTCATGGGAGATAAAAATCAAGACATATGTAACGTCTGTATACGAACAACCTCCACAGTGAGGAGTTAATGATGCATTTAAAATCAGAGGGCTACTTGTCTGTATGTTTACTTGCACATTTGTGGCGGCGTGACGAGTCCGACTCACGGCGACAGTGACGATAATATCCCTGCTCTTATGTCAAAGGTCAAAAGGGAGGTCAAATGGGTGCAATTGAACGCACCGAGTGAGTCAGACGGAGGAGGCCTATGGCTCAAATGAACCGACGTCTGGCCTCCTCGCTGCCACGGCGGCCGCACAAATACACACCGACACACACACACACACACCCACAAGCCATCATTATGAGTCAGTTAAATATGTTCTGCTAAGTGTATTTTCTGGCAACACACCGCCCACGCAGTCGAACAAAACAAACAAACACTCGAACAGACACGGGCTATATTAAAGTGTTAGAGTGTGATAGCGCGCCCGGACGCCGAGCGAGATCTGCGGTGACATCACCGTTTGGCTCGGTGTGCCTCTAACACGAGGAGAGAGAAGGAGGAGGAGGAGGAAGAAACAGGGGATGTACGTCTTAATGTGTCTTCTTAAATCAGTCCCCCCCCCCCACCGTCTCGTTAAGGTCGCAAGATAAACAGTTGAAGGAGGAGAGCAAGTGGAGAGAGACTGAGTGATGGGGAGAGGAAGGAAGGAAAGGAAGAAGAAAGGATGAGGACAGGAAGAGGAATTACGTCTGTATAGCAACACCTCTCTTTCACCCTTCTATCCTTCTTCACCTTTCTCCTACTTGCTTGCCTCCTTTGGGAGTTAATCCCAGGAGGAGGAGGAGGAGGAGGAGGAGGAGGGGGGATTGAATGGTAAGGAGACAAAAAAAAAGCTATTTATAGAGACATACATGGCACATGTGTGAAACATGCCGGCGTGTGTTTTCTCCAGTCATGATGAAGGTGAAGCTGAAACACCGCCGAGTGTTTGCGATCATGCGTTTGACCACTCTTCACAGGAAACACATTCCCAGAACACCCAGAGCGCCACTCAATTAGCCTCCCTGCCCCTCGGCTATGTGCGTGCACGGACCTGGCGCGTGGTGCACGTGTGTCGGGGCTGCGAGAGGGCAGGGTGCAGCCGCCAGGGAAGGGAGAAGGAGGGGATATAGAAACAAAAGGGACGAGCGTGTCCGTACGCCATGCATAAGTAACGCCGCTCATGACGCTGCTCGGCGAGTATACGGTGATCATTTGGAACATTTTGTGCCGGCACTGTGCTTCGAGGTGCCCGTATGTGAAATATTCAGCGGGATCCTTAAAGTTGCCCCCCCTCCCCTCACCATGCTCACGTATTCAGCAGGCAAACAAATGACTCACACTGTGCCTTAAACCTTCAATTATAAAAATCCCCTCTTCCTGCTTCCTAAATCACTATATATAGCAACTTCAAGGGGGGAAAAAAAATCTCTGCTCTCCCACCCTTTTCGTCTCTCCTTTTTGCTTGCTCTGTTTTATATCGCCTGTCCAGGTGTGTTTACGCTCCATAATGGGGACAGTAGTAGGTCGTAGACTGAGGTGTCTCGCCAACAAAAGGCAAGCGAGGCCCTCAAAGTACACCGCAGGAGCCAAATGACGCAGGCAAACCCACACATACATGCACATTGGCTGGCCTCTTGGTAACCTTGTCCATCACTGCTCTGTACAGTCTTTACGTTTCGCTCCCTCTCCTACCTCCTCGCTAAAGCCCTCGCCTGTGTCTTGCTGATATATTTCTAAGCCTCCTCCCCTTCTCCCCTCTAGATCCTCACTTTCATTCTTCTCAATTTTTCCTCCTCCTGCATTCATGCATCTCCCCTCCGTCCACCTTCCTCTCAACAGAGCCCGTCCATCAATCATCCCTATCTCCGCCATGCCATCTCCATTCAATATCGAATGAGAGAGAGAGAGAGAGAGAGAGATGCCGCATCAGCAAACAACACAGACAGTAAGAGAGGAAATGAATAAAAAAAAAAAAAAAGGTTGGACAGGAGGAAAATACACGGAGGGTTAAAATGAAAGAGAGAGCAGAGGAGTAGGAAATGGAGAAAGAAAGAAACTGTCCTGTGGGCACAGACATGATTGAAAAGAGTGAGTGGTGAGGAATAAAAGGGGGAGGAGGAGGGAGGACGGAGCGGGAGGGAGGGAGGGAAGGAGGGAAACAACAATGGGGAAGAGAGAAGGGCAGAGACGAAGAGCGCAGGAGTGCTGAATGAGGAGGAAAAGCGGGAGAATGACAAAAGGGGGTGTGAGAGTGTTGCAGTATTTTCTCCTCCTGAGCGGCATGAACGTTCTGTCGAAAGTAGGTTAGTGGCAGAACTCACACACGTATGGGGGGAGGAAGGGAGTGGGTGGGAGGCCGCATATATCACACATGCAGTGTGCACGTATGGAAGATCGCCTTCGAGTGAGCAGATATCTTTAAATAACACGAAACAAAACGCACATGCAGACGCAAATATACAGCAGCAGAGCGCCACTTTCACCTCCGCTGCATCGTACATGCACCGTGCGCACATACACTTCACCACCAGCTGCCTCCCTATTAAAAAGCATGACATGGGCCTTTTGTTCCCCACTCTGACATCCCCAATCTACTCAATTTAATTCTGGGAAGAGAGCGCGAGAGAGAGAGAAAAGAATTGGCTCAGCATTAGTCCAAATTTCATTACCACCATCCATATATTACAAAGTAAACTTTGCAGCGACGGATTTTTGGCGTATTTCAGGTTTACGTAAAACATATCGGAGCCAAAAGAACAAGGACGCGATAATCACCTTGCTATAGGATGATCAATCTTCCCCCTCTATCTATCTCCATTTGTGCGAAGGAGCCTTATAGGTAAGATTTTTTTTTTTCTTGTGCTGCGAGGATCCATTCTGAGAAAAAAAAAGCACCTCAGGAAAGGATTTGTGTTATTTTCAAGAAGACAAAAGGGAAGAAAATAGGAAGAAGTTGAACTCATAACTTAGCAGTCTCCCCTTTTTCGCTGTCAGTTTATTTATATCCCTCCCTGCCTGCCTCACCCTCTCTCTCCCTCTCTCTCTCTGTGTCCTGTTACATTATGCAGCAGTGGCAGAACAGCTCCAATGATTACTTCACTTTCTTGTCACTTTTTCCCTCAGAAGCGCTGATTCGATCAAATGAACGGAATTAAGCGGTGTGGTTGAAACCGATGTAATTATTTTGATAATCGGCAGCCGCAGAGATAAGGGCCGAGCGCTCCGTATTATTCCTGTATTACCCGATTTGAATGGAGTCTCATGAGCTGCAGTCAAACTTTCTCTTTAAATACCGCCTCACATTTAGCCAGCGATCTCGTTTTAAGTGATTTCAATTTTCTTTTAAACATATTTTTTGGCAGATAGGACAGAGAGAGAGACAGGAAAGGAAGAATGGGGGAAGGACTTGCAGGAAAAGGGTCATGAGTGGGACTCGAACCCATGACCGCTGCGTCGGGGGCTGTAGAAACACGGGACGCCAGCTCAACCAGGTGAGCTACAGCGGCGCCTGATTTCATTTTTTAAGCCGAAAGATGGATGAAAATCTAAAATCAAGTTCCACCGTACAGTTTTGTGTGTCGTCGCAGAACGAGCACACGTTCACTTTGTGCCTCCCTACAGCACACTCAGCACTCCTCGGGAAGAAAATGGCCTCCGTCGAGCAGCACCGCCACGTGGGACGATGCTCCTCTGAAGCAAAAGCAGACTCATTCCGCTCAGGAGTTGCGACCAAAAGCAAGACTTTGATGAAATCTGACATGAAGCTCAAACTAAACACATTTCCTAAGTAGTACAACCAAAAAGCAAATTCTAATGATTTTACATTTATCCTGCTTTGACGGCACGCGAGCACCCAGAGGCCTGCTTAGCCCTGCTTGGCCTCTCTTAGTCTCACTTAACATCAGTCAGTTTGCACAGGTCTTACAGTCGCCCACTCTTCTTCCTCCTCCCTGTTTATTCCATATGCTGCATCTCCATCTTCCCCCCGCCCTCCCCGCCGCCGCCTCTCCCTCGTCACCCACACAAAGCCGAGTTGTCACTTTGTGCAAGATGCTGACGGCGGCGTTTGTGCGCTGCATGTAGAATATCATGTGACATTTCTTTTTTCTCTTACATTAGCTGCATGTTCAGGGAGGCAGGCGCCGTGTTAATACGAGAGCGTGCTCGTGTACCTGACAGTAGTTGCTGATTTTTTCTTTTTCTTTTTTTGCTTTTCGCTGCCAACGTGTGCGCTTGTGTGAGTGTGTGCCAGCTCGCCCTGCAGGTAGAGCGCAGGTTTCCAGCAGGGTTTGTCTAGTAACAGCCGCAACACGTGACCGAAAAAACATGGCCATGAAAAAAAATCAATCCATCACAGACTCCCTCTTCTCCCTCTCTCTCTATTTCTCTCTCTCTCCACGTATCCGAATCCCAAAAATAGCTCGGCCCAACGTCACCGCACCCTAACACACACTCACAGACACAAAGACACACACCTAACACAAACACACACACACACACACACGCCCAAACTCGCCTGAAACTGAATTATTCAGCAGAGCCAGAACGCACAGCTAAGAGAAAGAGGAATGAAGAAAAATCCAGAGGGGAA